CAAACAATAGACAATACAGCATGCTAAAAAGAACACAACAATCGCACAATTCGAGTGGGGCTACAATCTTAACCCCAGGCCAGCCAGATCTTTACAGCGGCGCGGAAGGACTGGAGGGTGGTTGTTCTTTTGCTTTTTTATTATATTGTTTTTCATCATTATTCCTTTCTCTCCTTCCTCTAAAACCAGCAAAGGTACAGTTTTTCACTCATTTTCTACCTGGAAAAGTGGCTTCGACTTTTATCCATGCCTTAGTACAATTTTTTAGTTCCCTTCGCCAAATTACCAGGGCGGAAGGCCTTTCTCCTATCTGAGACCCCCTCACAATCCCCCTGAGAAAGCCAAACTCAAGAGAATTTGGGCCGTTGGTGCTGTGGACGTGGATCCGAATCAGTCTGCTGGTTCAGTCCACACGAGACCCAATTCCCTCCTTCACCTCCCCGTAAGGTCTCTGAGGGGACGCTGCTTCTCACCGCGCCCACCTCAGAACGGCGGCCCACTTCGCGCCCTCGCCCCTCTCTTGAGCTGTGGGAGAGGGGAGGGGGCGGTTTCCATGGTAACGCCGACCGGAAGGGGTTGAGGTCGCGAGGCAGCGAGGAGTTGCCATAGCGACAGTGGCGGTAGGCGGAATGGCTCCTGTCGCCAGGCGGTGACGCACCGATTGTGGAGATGAAAGTGGCGTTGAAGGCGTCCTCGCTGAAGCGGAAGAGCGCGCACGTTTTGCCCACGCCGGAATCGCCGATCAGCAGCAGCTTGAAGAGGTAGTCGTAGGTCTTCGCCATGTTCTTCGACCCGGCGGCTCTATGGGATTTGCTACCGGCCACCAAAGCTGTCCATCTTCACAACGGTGGGATTTCATTGGCCACTACGACTGAAACGTCATCAGGTGGCCTCCCTCCTGTAGATTATAGCCGGAAAAATTAGACTGAAAATCCCATTGGTCAATAGACGGTCTTGACTACAGCGGCAGCCTGCCATTGGCTAATATGTCCTCATGAGCTGGCAGCCTCTAGTATTGGCTGGGGCGGGTGAACGTTCGTTATCATAGAGTTATATCTTTTAGGTAGGGAATTTGGGCAGTGTAAGCATTCTGGGTCAAGTATAGCATTCTTGTTGGCTAGATGCCGCTCTAGGCACTACCCGTTCTCTATCTGCAGGCGGTGTAATTTTATACAACGGAAGTGCAAGTCAAGCGGATGTGAGCTCGCGAGGCTTTTGGGCGTACCGAGAAGCGCTGGGTCCGGGGGTGCCGGGGCTTCTCGTGTGCGGGCTGGTGGAGGACCGCCGTCATGTCGGCCAGCGCCGTCTATGTATTGGATCTCAAGGGCAAGGTGTGTGGAGAGGGATGGGCCTTCCGCGAAACTTCCAGCTGCAGGGGCAGTCTACCAGCTGCAAAGTGTAAATAAATAAATGCTTTCAAGAGAGGCAGCTGCTTTATTCTGCGATTTAAAAAAAAACACAATTAAGGATATTATATATAGGAAAGGCTAAGTATGGTGTTAAGTTTGTGCTTTGCTAGAAACGTGAAAAAGTAATTCGGATTTTAAATTGAATATTCAGGGAGGGACTTAAAAACATGGAGCGATGCCAGAAAATCACCATATGTCCACATTTCTTTGTTGTTCTGTTCTCTCCCTCACTAAGTCCCTTAATGCACTCCAGCATTGCATGTCAGGAACCATTGATCTCTACTATTGAGAGAAGGAAGAAAGGCGAAATAAGCCCCAAGTTGAATCTGTTTAATATTATTTTTGTTTATGTAATTATATTTTGCTCTTCTGTAAAAGAGAATTGTTGGGAGGGACAATATCTGTTTCTCCTTTCTTGGAATGAAATTTACATTCATATCACTAGTGGCCCAATTAAATGAGCTTCTAGCTGTTACACTTGAAACCAATTGCAAGAAAACAGTTGCTATTTAAAGCTAGAGGGTTGTTTAGTATTGAGAATCCATGAGGGTATGGTACTACTATAGCTTGTTAATTGAAAAGTGGTTTCTTTTGTAGAACATACAAACTTGTCTGAGACAATGTTCATAAATTTTTCAAAAACTGCTAATAATGTCCCTACTGTTTTAGGTTCTTATCTGTAGAAATTACCGTGGAGATGTGGATATGTCAGAAGTAGAGCATTTTATGCCTATACTTATGGAGAAGGAAGAAGAAGGGATGCTCTCACCTATTCTGGCTCATGGAGGTGTTCGCTTCATGTGGATTAAACACAACAATTTATATTGTATCTTTTGCCAAAATAAGGGTTAATGTGCTGACTCTTTAGCCAAACTTTCCACTTGAGGTTTAATTTTTTTAAAAGGCTCAAGTTAATAATTAAATTAGTCAAAAGAAAGGCAATCCGTTTCCCTCATTATTCACATGCTAATCTATACTTTGTTTTCATAAACTTTTCACTTTATTTATTATTTATCTCTATAAAATATTTTCAGGCTTAAAAAAACATTGTGGAGGTCTAGATGATATTAGAGAGCAGCTGATCAGGTCTGAATTCACTAAATCTGGTCAGGGAAAAAAGAAAAATAATAACATCAACCTTTAAATTTCAGCATTGAAAGAGATTTCAAAAATGATCTACTCTAAACCCTGCACAGGCAGAAAATTCCCTATTGCTGCATCTTGGTAGATTCTCATCCATTTACTTCTGGTCTAGTGAAACAAAGTTGACTGCCTTCTATTGTTGAACATTTCATGCTATGAAGAGAATATAAAAAGCAGTTCTGAAGATCTGCCTTCAATAAGCTCTGACTTTTCAATGACCAGTCAAATATAAATGAGAAGCATAGAAGCAGGAAATTCATATTAATGACAAATTTTCTCTTACTTGAATTCATTAGTACTGACCCTCCTTTAAAAACACATTTTCCTATGTGAGATAATCTTGCTTTCAAATCATTTCAATTGTGAATAACATATGCGGTTCCATATGTTTAGCCTAGCATCCACCTGGTATTGAGCCTCCTAATTTTTTTGTTGTTGTTGCATTTCTTTAGACATTTCAATGTATTAATATCTTTCTTAAAATACAGAGTCTGGAATTGGGCATAGTATTAATCTGTCAAATAGAATAACCTGTTTCCCATAATCTAGATTTAGTGCTTTAGTTGATTTTGCCTCGGAAGACATTATCTTAGTGAAGTTTTGAATAATTGCA